AGGCGTGCTTTCAGACAGACTCTCAACGTTATTCTATAACGCGCGAGTATTGTGAGCCACGTAAATTGGCCTCGGATTAAAATACAAATATATAAATATAGCTACATAGTTACGATATAATCGGAACTGTACATACAAGTATATAAGTATTCGATGAGAAAGTTCGTCTGCATTGTCAAAGCGTGGGTGCATTTAGAATATATATTCTATTCCGAGTCATCTGGCGTCTTCATTATACTATAAACGCGTATATGGGTCCAGAGCTGTATTAAATTACCGACGCGATAGTGGTGGCGCGGCTAGGAAACGCTTAAAACGAGGGAAAGCACTCGGGAATTGCATCAGCGATTCGCGCGAACCGCACCTACGCAAATGCATCGATCGTCTGATTTACGATCCTCGTCACATTAACGCGTCACTTGCACGATTACACCTTCATCTTTGCTGGTGTCGAAGAAGAATCCGCATCTCTTTGTTTACAACAACAAATACAATCAAAATTGATAATTTAAAATTACAAAGTGTGAATAAAATCTTTAGGTTGTGATATAAAATATTTCAGAGTTTTACTATCGCGAGAGTTACATATACTTCTGATCGACAGATAAATATATTAGTTAGTGACTGACTCTCGAGAGATACTCGCGACAGTAAAACACCCAGATGTAATCGCATCCTAAACTTTGAGATACAAGATTGATATTCAATATAATAAATAATGTTTCTTTTCATGTTTCATTAATTTTTTGTGTCTGGCAATATCAATCCCCAGGCGAGATTGTAGTACATCGGGTTCCTGTCTGCCAAGAAGTAGTTCGATCGATAGTATGGCGGAATGGGGATTGACAGGAGGAATAGGAATTGTTAGTGGAAACAACAACGTGAGTACTGGTAGCAGTTATGGTCTATTTGTCGAACACGTACCTCCGAGAAGAAGTCCAAGTCCGTTGTTGGGGACAAGAGGCGAAAGATTGAGTTTGGTGTCACCCAATATTGGCAGGAGAGTGAAAGGACACAGAGCAATTATTGGTAAGTCATTATAACATTATAAAAATATACTGATCATTGTGTTTTATTCGAATGTAAAAGATGATATTTTTTATCTTTGAAATGAATATTCATTTTTTTTCGCATCTTTAAAATTGCTAATTAAAGACGTTTGGATGCGCGAACGTCAATTAGGAAGGTTAATTAATAAATTAGATGGTAGCGTCTAATCAAAGAAGACTGCTGGCAGCGAAAGAGTAAATTTTCTGTAAATTATTAACCTTGGTGTAGCACGATTTTATGACAGGACTCCAATGCTTGCAATTAAATTAGCTTCAGCTCGCTTCAGAGGCATAATACAGAACGCTCGATTCCTCTACTTGTATTTTAAGTATAAAATCAGCAACAATATCTGTGAAATATTCTTATTTTTATTCGAAGAAAATAGTAATAAATTTATTTTGTAGAGTATTTGTTATCGTGTCGTGCAAAAAGAGAGAGAGAGAATGATCATGAGACAGAAAAGTTAAAAAAATAAAGTTCTGCAAAATATAAGTAAAATAGTGTGTAATTAAAATTTCGCTTTTTATTCATCAAATCAATAGAGATTTTGCTTTTTACACAATTTGAATAAGATAAGTAAGAGAAACAGAGATTTCAATGATTGATTAATCTCTATATCCGTGTAAAGTTTACAACTTCCGCGGTTAATCAAGTTCAAGCGATACGAACGTCTTCATTGCTTGTAATCTATGATCGAAGTTACCGCTGATAATCGTGCGTAATACCGCCGTAACGATCAAAGTTATAAATTGCAATTATTCACTGGTTGAATTCAATTTCGTGTGAAATAATGCAACACATATATTTCTTGTAGCAAATACCTTCATATTTTATATGTATACGAAGCTGATATATGTCTTTGGGAGCATGTGTGCATGAATGACCTGGGAACATTCTGTATAAAGTACAAGCAAAGGTTGCGAAGTCGTATAAAATGATGGATAACGTTTTACGACACATATCGTCCACACGAGACAAAAGGGTATTTTACGACGTCGAGGGTGTTACTTTTTAATACCTGTCCATAAACGTGACTGCAATAGGGGATCGAATGACGTTTCGTCACAAATGCAGAAGAAAACTTGACCCGCTTTAACAACATTTAGTTGCAAAGTTGTCAACTGAAAGACAAATTTTGATACACTTTTTATTTTTATTGTTGAAAACAGTTGCAATGTGATCAATTGCAAATATGCAGACGTTGTGACTCTACAGATTTAATATAAATTTTAACATGTGTGCAAGTTTGAGTTTCATAAAACTGATTTACAAGATGACACATGATTTGTTTTTCAATGACGGGGCAAAATATTGAATTTTTCTCAGTGTCCGAGGAAATGATATTGTCGGTTTAACGTTGGCTTATAACTAACCAATATTTATGATAAAAGCGCTCTTTGGGCACGTTCCTACTCGAGGAAAGCCCGCGATTAAAAGTTTCGAATCATCAGAGACTGCTGCGGTTAAAAGTTAAATTGCGTGAACGGCGTTGTTATCAGGATTTCAAATGCTAATATATAGTTTGCATTTGCAGCGTCTGTCGCATCGTAATTATCTCAACAAATTAAACAAGTATGTTGTCAGATAATTTTATAAACCGTAAGATACAACTTTTTGCGACATAAACTTACTTCATTTCTAGACACAACTCTAGAAAATTTCATGAAATCCGCAAAGTAATATTTCAGAAAGTGCTCCAAAAAACAATTATATATAAGTAATTAAAATGTATAATTGGTAAAAATTATATATGTGTGTATATATAATTGACTCTTCACTCTTCTCTTAAAAGCTAAATTTTTAGAGCTCTGATAAAACAGTGATTTCCCTGCGGAATGATATCCCCAATACAGATCTGTACGTTCGGTTACACCTTGTATCTGAGGCGAAGTGCGTATACCTGTCCCAGACAGGTCGCTCCTCAGCCAATCGTCTTCCGTCTTCGTTCTCCTGCGAATGAACGAAGGAAGAAAGGTGTTCGTTGTCACGAGTTACACGTCTGAACGATCTGCGCAGTTTACGGTGATCGCTCTTGCGCACTAGGAGCTCTTCCCAAGAAAGATACGCGATGGTGAACAAAGAACACGCGATCAGTTATCATGCGCGATAAAGAGCACGCGTGGTCTACGCGATCGCGTTCGATTTCTTTTGAATCGCGGTGATATATCACTTAGTTTGAATTTGTGGACTTTTTTGTTGTTGTTGCTGCATCTTTTAATAATTATTGATGAAAACTGGTATCGTTACCTAAGATATAAATGAAATGAACGTCTTTTAATAATGTTTAAGTGAAACTGACGTAGGTGGAGTTACTCTTAAAAAGTTTGCTTACTTGGTGACTTGATAAAATATATCTACAATACAAAATGAATAAAAAGATACAGTCAGCGCGAAGCGATATTGTTAACAATAAGAAAAGCTAACGATTATCGACGTAACAACAAGTCGTTTCTTTGTAACGAAAAAGAAGCTGAATAAAGTTTAAGAAAAGATCGAGTGCTACTGGATGAATTCTAAAGACTTCCGAGCGACCTGTCACGCAGTGTCGCAGTGCAGTGGTCCAATCGAATTATCGGGTTCCATTCGGTGAAATTATTAAATTCTCTTGACTCGAGAGAGTGATCATGTCGTGCTTGGAGAAATCTCGAAATGCTTGTGAAATTCGGCCGCGACGGTGTCGCGTCGTCGTCCGATGAAAATGGACGAAGAAGGAAGAGAACTTTGAGGATCTCACCGGGCCGCATCACGAATGCATCGGGAATTATCGCGCGATATAAACCGGTTTTTGCATTGGGTGCAACGACGGACAGCGGCGCCGCGCCGGTGAGTTTTACCAGCGAGACCTCGCGACGAATGCTCCTCTTTCTCTCTCTCTCTCTCTCTCTCTCCGCTCGATCCGATTACCCGACGAATTACGAGCGGTAGTTTAGCGAGAAGCGTGATTGAATTTCACTGTTCGTTCCATGATGCAGAGGCCTTCCGTGCCGGAGAATCGCCTGTGAGACTGTGATTTCGATCTCGCGACTTGACATTTCTGTGCGATCAGCAGTTTCTCTCGAAAAAGATTTCAATAATGCACTATCGTCACGCGCAAAGTTTTATTAATAAAAATATCACTCAACTTGGACACGTAATTTACAACTTAAAAGACTTAAAGATGAAAGTTTCGGAGATGTTTTATTTCTCACTTTTCACATTTCGGCGTTATTTATTCATATCTCGTAATATCAACAAAAAAAAAAAAAAGAAGAATAACCGATACGGACTCATGACTTCCGATCGATTACGCGATACATATATATCTTTCGTTTTTAGACACGATTTGCTTTCACTTTCGCGAATGACTCGCTTGTTTTTCTCCAAATGTTACTTTTATTTGGGATAAATGTAGAAGACAGATGATGGCAATTTTGTTGTTTGTTTTCGAATGTGTCACAACGATGCGGAAGACATTGAAAGAACTTTGATAAAGATAATAGAGAAAGCCTTAAGGAAAGTGATTCGTAACATGTTTATGTACGTTGAGTGAAAGCAATTTCTAAATCAGATAAAAAATAATTTACTTTTAGAATTATTTGTAGTCTATATCAATAATCACATAAATATCCATTACGTTGGCTAGTGTAATTGAAAAAAACATTCAATATAATATTGGAGCTAGGTATTAAACATCACAGAAATGGTGACGTGATAATTGAACAGTCTTATACTAGTATTTATGTTTTCATTTTATGCGGAATTAAACTTTTATAAAGAGCTGCTCTTTCAATACCGATGTCTAAAATGAAAACAGCAATTACTGTCAAGTTAGAAGACTTAACATTATGCATCGATTGCGCAAGCCACACCCATAAGATCAAATTATGTAAATGTGCTCAACACAAATTATCGAAGAATCGTGTGTGTGTGTGATCAGATAGAAATGACGTTTTTCTAGAATTTTCCTTAAAATGAGTTTGTTTTCTTTATTTGATCAAAATTACATTATAAGAACCAAACTACGCGAACAATTGCAATTTTAATCAGCATCAGTTCGTCAACTTCTCTTCTCTTGCATATGTAATTAAATCTTTAATTAAATTGTTCTTGAGTAAGATTGACACCTCAGAAATCGCGTGTCGTATTCCGTAGAAAATACATTTTTTTACGTCAATATTTCTCTTGTTAGAAATTTTACGTCGCATTGCTTTAAATTTTCTAGTTATAAATGGATCCTTTCTTATATTTTTTTCTCTCTATTTTTCTATCTATCTTTCTCATCTTCTCATAAATTTACGTTGAGATGCCCTATTTCAAGCAGGTTGGGTTGGATTACTCAGAATCCGGGAATGATCTTCACGCATGGGAAACTCCTTCATTCCGCACTGTCAGCAATGCGAGACAAGGAAGCACAATAAAAAGGGCAGAGAACCGAGCAGTTTTTCGTTTTTATCTCTTATCAACGTCACAGTGTTTCATGGTTTTTGTTGTTAGATTTTGAGAGTCTCTTTCCCAGTTACATTTGTGTTCTTGCGGATATAATTAAGTTCACAAGATCTCTCTAATTATACGCTTGCTTGCACGATAGTACGTGAGATTGTCATACGTGCGATGTCTTAAAGGAGGGAAACGGGTTTAACGTGCTCGGAAATCACGAGGACTCGATTGTTCCTCCCATCGTAATTGTCCTACTTCCGCTCTTTTCAAATTCTGCATGAAATTACGAGCACTCTGAAAGTTTCCGTTACGAGTTTGCTCGCGTTGTTCGCCCTTCTGCCCGCCGTCGCCGTATGAGTGAGAAAAATACTCCGGAAAAGGGCGGCACCTGCGATGCAGGTATCCCCGATATAACGGGTGTACCGATGATTTTGTATAAGCAGTAGAAAAATAAGCATTTACTGCTATCGCTTTCGACAAACGCTACTTCAGAAAAATTAAAAAAATGAAATTTACATAGAAAAATGAACATAAAGGTTTTCTTTTCCGTACGTACCGTAAAATGAGCGTGCGATGAGTAACCATGGTAATTCTTTTACGAAGCAAGAGAATATTTCCGCGAAAACATGTAATAATAAGACACTGCGATAAAGGTACTAGATTATAACATGAATTATTAAAAATTATATATAAAACATACTGTAATAAAATTTAAGTAAGAAACGTAATTTCATTGATTAATTTCAAGTGGTTCTATTTCTATTATGCGTTTCTATCATATTGTTTAAAGATATTTTGAAAAGCTAAAAAAATTTGCCATAAAATTTCTATTTAAAAAATATCAATCAATTCGATTATTAAAAAATGATAACACAAATATTGCAAAATTCAAGTAGCAAAATCTGCAAAGAGTGCAATATCTTATATATAGAGTGACTTAATTCTGATATCTATCAGAATCATTGCAGTAGGTACGGTCCTGAGGTCTAACGAAATTCGAACTCACCTGTCCCGATGTCATGCTTAACAGCACAGTACATTTGTTACCTTCGTTTTAGTTCGTGTCCTTCCTTTACATCGTGAGGATCTGCGCAAGAGAAGCAGCGCAGTTTTATTATAAAAATCGCGCGGTGTACAATCATTTCTTAAATATTTCATACACAAAAGTTTTAAAACTCTCTTTATATGATTTATATATATATGTATATATACATATAAAATTATAAAATTATAAATTTTTGTTTTACATACATTTTTTACTTTACATACTTTTAAACAAAAAAAATCTTTCACTAAAGTATGCAATATAGCCGTTGTGTGCGTTAGGTTGACAAGTTCGTGGAAAATACCATTCCACGTAGTTAATCGACTTTGATGTATTTTCTTTTGACAACATTGGTGATGGAAAAGCTCTGCCTCATTTTTGCGGCTTTCCACAGTGTTCCCGGCGCAATACGAAATTGCATCTCTGTACTGCAAATCGATAACGAAATTACATTCCGCGCTTCGTTAAAGGCAAAGTTACTTTCAACTCGGACGTGATAAAGTCACGATCGAGCGACGCACCGGATTTGACTGAAAGTGTGAGTATGATATGGAATATTATAACACGCTTCTAATGACCTCTATGAGAATGTAATGACTCGACGAAGTGTAATTTATATTATCTGTGAAACGCGAGATCTCTCATGATGTCCAATAGTTAATCGCGCAACCTAACACAATTCATCGTAATTCAATCGACATCTCCAGTGAACTTTTAATAATCAATGAATTAAAATTGTCCTGTCGCTATAATCTCCGTCTGTTGTCATCGCAAATTGGACGTTGATAATAACGTTATACACTTATTTAACGATAAAAAAACGTTTGTCACTTTTACAGTTTATTGACTGTTGAAAGAGTTATAATGTAATTGAAATGTAGTTGTTCACACGCACACGTATATAAGTATAGTACTAACAATATATATTAACAATATATACTAACAATATATATTACGTGTAACTTGTACTACAGATTCTTATCTCTCACTGGCAATAAACATGGGAACGTAACCATAGTTTAGAATTGTCAGTAACACGTGGTGGAGGTTATGCAAGACATTGGTTGCGTTCCATTGTTCACTGTCAGCGCTGAAAATCCACAGTTCACGTGACATATATTATAGATTTCCAGCAGTAAATTTCAGAACGCAGCCAATGATTGCATTCCGTTTTCTTCACTGTCAGTAGTAAAAATCTATAGTTCTTGTGACATGTATCACAAATTTTCAGTACTGGCAGTGAATTTCGGAACGCAGTCTTTACAATAGATGTGATCGGTTAGCAGATGTTTATGTAGTAAAAGTGTCGCCATCTAGTGTCGAAAATAGAAAAGACACTACGAATGTCTAGCGACAATGACACTTGTGATATACACGTTATTACCTAAAATTTTCATATTCGAAAATTTATGAACTTTATATCGTTATAACTCCGTTTATAGAGCATGGAAAGAAAAGGTAAAAACTGTTTTTAACTTTTAAATTATAAAATGAATACCAAGTGGTGCATTAAACCGCATCGCGTTTCCGAACTCCGTGAACATACATATATATTGAGAACGGCATAAAATAGTCACTTTTTTTATATCTCGTCGTTTTATATTTTGTCTTTTCTTTTCAAATTTTATATACGTTTACTAGCGTGTTCATAAAACATGGAATACTGAAAAAAGTATCAAAAAGCTTTTTGATACGGAACTCGTGCAACACATTCCTTTTATAATATATATGTGTATATATATATATATATATATATATACGCATATAAATGCATATAAAATTTGAAAAGAAAAGACAAAATATAAAACAACGAGATATAAAATTGACTATTTTATGCCGTTCTCAACTATATTTTATGCAAGAGTTTTAGTGGAGTGCAATTAGACACAAAAAATCAAAAACCTCGGAACCTAGTTATAGTGAATGGATTTTCGTGAAACTTGTTTTATTATATTTGTAAAATAATGAGTAGTAAAAAGTTTACCCATTAAAAATTAACGCTTATAATTATGTAATTATTTAAACAAATAATTATTAATTATAAAACAAATAATTATTAATTATAAAGAAAAATTAATATATTTTTGCAATAGTCACCAGTTTTTTTGTAATTAGTCAGAAATATAAAAAAACCATATTTTTAACATAATATAAATATTCAAATTTATACAAGTTATATATGTTAGTCCTGACAATCGTAATATTAGTCCTGAACGGTTGGGATCCGTCTTTTCATGCTTAATCACGCATTTACTGTAGTATGTGTCACGTATACTATAGATAAATGTGCGCTTAAGCATAAAACGGACCGCAGCCAAAGTAGTTTTGTTTTAGAAGTCATATGGCGTGGAACGTTGTACTATATATCATTGACTGTGTATATTCGTAGTTTATTGTTGTTTGTGGTAATAATTATATAAAAGTGATTTATAAACAATGTTTTTGCGAGCCGTGAAGGTAAAATTTATTTGATATTTATAGAATAATTAAGAAATTTAAACGTACAATTTTATTTAAACTGTACAATTGTTATTTGACCTAAAGTTTCCTTTTTGCAGGTTATGTTAACAATTAATCAAAAAATAATAAAATCAAATAATAATAGTGATTTAGATAATATTGAAGAAAATCTCTGTTTTATTTGCAAAAAACACGGATCGGGATTACTAGTAGAGTTCAATTAGACACAAAAAATCAAAAAGCTCGAAATTCGGTTATAGTGAATGGATTTTCGTGAATCTTGCGTCTTTTTTATTTTTCTTTCTCTTTTTTTTATGTGCTTTTTTCCAAATAAAACAATTGTTTTTCCAATCAAAAAACCACTCGATGATAAAGTTCGTAGTCTTTTCTTTGGTGGAGAGCATGCCGAGTCTTTTTTTTTTTCTGAATTTTTATAAACATTGATATATTTTTGTCGACATGTTGTGTGAGCATATGCAGAGTGACAGGTATTTAAATATTCCAATAGCCCATCATTTCTTTGCTCAGAACCTTTTTTTAAATTTGCCAATCCTCTTGTTATTTGAGTAATTTCACCTAAATCCGAGCTACTCTTTAATCTCGATCCGAGTCCTTCGCAAATATATATATATATATATATATAAATCAGAGATTTTCTTCAATATTATCTAAATTACTACTATTATTTGATTGATTCATTGGTAACATAACTTGCAAAAAGGAAATTTTTCAGGTTAAATAACAATTGTATAGTTTAAATAAAATTGTACGTTTAAATTCCTTAATTATTCTATAAATATCAAATAAACGTTCAACGCGCGCTTGCAAAAAATTGTTTATAAATCATTTTTATATAATTATTATCACAAAAACAATAAACAACGAATATACACAGCCAATAATACATAGTACAACGTTCCACGCCATATAGCTTCTAAAACGAAACTACTTTCAGGACTAACATATATAACTTGTATAAATTTGAATATTTACATATATTGTGTTAAAAATATAGTTTTTTTACGTTTCTGTGACTAATTACAAAAAAACTAGTGACTTTATTGCAACAATATATTTTTCTTTAAAATTATTTGTTTAAATAATTAAATAATCATAAGCAGAAATTTTTAATGGTAAGCTTTTTACTACTCATTATTAAAAATATAATAAAACAAGTTTTACAAAAATTCATTCACTATAACTGGGTTCCGAGGTAAAAATCTTACTGCACTCCACTATTTGCAACGAAAAGATTCGTCACATTTACAACCGTATTCTGACATTTTGATTTTGATAAGCTTCAAATATCGACTGACGCTTCCGCATTTATTTTTACAATTTTGCAATGTGTCACTTGTTGTATCTGACAGATCAAGTTTGCATCACTCTGGCTTCAGTATAGAATCTAATGTCTATGTCCCGACACGCGTGCACGCGACACATATCACTTCTTTTGTACAGAACAGTACAACAGCCAATGTACACGCAATGCAATTTCGAGTATAAACACAAAATTGTAGACTCTTATTTCCTAGTCATATAAATTTAAATACAACATATGTGTGTTCTGAAACAATAAATGTAGTTACCGAAATAACAGTTATAATGTGTGAAAAAGTACTGGTTATAATAAACTAAACATTGTTGTGTGACTGACAATTGCTGAAAATTCTCATTACGTAATTATTATATTTTTATAAATCTTTTTATTATGTTATACACAAATTATCTTAGTTAAGTATAAAACAAAAATTTTTTTATAAATCTACTTGAGAGCTGTTTTTGCAACTCTATTTAAAACACGAAAAACAGATTATAATGCGCGAACGATTCGAAAGTTATTCGATTTAATATATATATATAAAGGTTCCAATTTCAATTTAGTAACATACATCGAAACGAGACAACATCGCAATTTATAGATACTAAAATATTTCATCTCTCTGTACATACATATATGTATGTAATCACTATTCGTATAAACATCAGAGAATAAATGTGTACATAAAGCGAGCTAACTTTGAAACCCAAAATATTCATTGCGATTCGCACCCAATAATACAATTATCGTATTAACAATCTCATAATGAATATATACGAATCATGTTTTGCTAGGAAATTTCCAACGCCACATATTTCATTATTAATGTCTTCCGTGAAATTATCGAATTAATAAATTATCGAAGAGTGTCAGCTATATGAAATCGATTAAATGGTTTTGCATTGCTAAGCAGTAATGAAATAAAATTAAAACTTAAAAAAATATATAATACAATAATTTTAAGTCTTACGCATAATTGCTTTCGCGAATGATTATTGTGTAATCGGGGAAATAATTTTGTGTTCTTAAATATAATGTTTCGTTCCACGCTTATTTTCCAAACAATTCTAAATGAGATGTCTGTGTAAGTATTATGCAACGACAAACCATGGGCTGTGGCAACGACTGCAAAATGCAAATACAACGGTGGTGTAAGAATCATTGCTGGCGGATGCGAATTTGTAAATATTTGAAGTGTTTTTCAAGTGCAATTTTGAAATATTTGACACGTTCTACGCACAATTTATTCGAACATAAAATTTTACTAAAATAGTGTAGTTAAAAATGATCTTACCAAAGAAAGGAAAATAGACTGATGCTTCAAAAGGCTGCTATGTATAAAATAAACGTAACTATTACTATTAATTATTTACTATAAATAATTAACTATTCTTTTTTTTGCAAATGTGCGCAGTAAATTTTCGAAATTTTTTATTTTACAAGAGTTTTCTGAAAACAATTCGCGATCTTTAATTTATTTTCTAGTTTATTATTTATGTGTGAGAAACTCTGAACTTTTTTTTACAAAGCACGTTCAGCGCGAATAAAATATCGGATTTTCAGCGCGATGTGTAAAATACGTAATTCAAATACATGACATATATCGGAACTGTACCTCCTACATTTTGCTAAACACTCTTATATATATTCATTTCTGCTGACACGTGGCGTTAAAAATACACTTGCTTCAATCGGAATTATGTGTTTTTCCAGATATTTTCGTAACATTTAAAGCTGCGATCTTACATAGTTGATGTAAACATAATAACAGCAACATGTCGAGTTGACTTACTTTCGCACATTGTTTTGCTCCTATTACACACACGTACACATTTGTGTGTGTGTGTAATATAATATATTACTGCGTATTGAAAATAGCGATAAAATAAACATAAATTGCTACATATTGCAATGCAATATGCTGTTGGGCATAAGAATACAATGAGATAGTAAGTGGAAATTTTTTTCAGAGGATGTGCTTTGCAATTGCTTACTGGTATGGCGTAGTTACGCGTAATATTCTCGCAGAGAATGAAGTTTATGAGTGTACAATAAAGCCTTGTAGCTATGACGTTAATTATATCGTTACAGCTGTTGCATATAAATTATCTTCTGCTTTGGATGCACTCTATCAAAATTTATATTTTTCTCAGTTTTTTTTTTTTTTATCAAAACTTTATAACTAACCCAATTGGGACAAAACCAAATGAGACGTTGCGTAGTTGTTTATAAGTTCATCTTGCAAATCATCTCTCTCTTCATACAGTAAAATTATCTCGTCATTAAACGAGTATCGTTAGCATGTTTCTATAAGCATAGGAAAAGTTTCTGGTTTCACAGAAGTGGAATTTAATATATTATATAATTTTGCAGTACGAGTTGATGATTGATAAATATCCGAAAGGACGAATAGATAGCGTCATCAGTAGTTTCACATCGTGGATAAATTTTATTCTTTAGAAAAACAAAAATATATTGGCTCATTATATCGTAGTGTTGTGTGACAGCTCGCTAAAGTATCAACTTGTATTATTAAATACAGGTTTCTAGCTGTGGTTTTTAAATTCTATACGATGACCCGGAGAAGAAATCGCGCTGTCGGTCTTCATACGTGCAGAAATAGCGACCCGATTCCCAGAATCGAGGAGAACAATTGTTGAAATTTACATATCTAGCTTGAAAATTCCTCAGAGAATCCGAAACTTGCAAGTGCGGAGTGTCTCGAGTTTCAGAGTCCATTAAAGCGACAAAGAATGTCGATGATGTCTTGTCGTATTTCTGTGGCATTCATTAATTCTTTAATTATTCGGTCGTTCACATCCATAGTGCGCCCCGAGCTCTCAATTTATTTAAATTTAATTCAACGTTGAGTCTGGAAACTTATTAACGATCAGTTGGTTTATGATATTCCGCGAACTAGCAAAATCATATACTTTGTGGAAGATATTGAGAATGTATTAAATTAAGTGAAATTTGTTTTACGGTTTTATTTCATTATTATTATTATTACTGTTTTATACAATTATATTTTAAATGTGAAGAATTCAAGCACAGTAAAATTGTTCCAACCGCACTCAAAACTTATCGATCTGAGTTTCGCGCGGCAGGTCTTCCATTCTGTTTTCAGTTACGTCAAATAATTAACACGTTTAATCAATTCTCCAAATTATTGACGCGGATACACAGAAACTAGTTGAGCCATTTGTTTAAACGGATTTCGCTAAGCCGGGCTGAACGAATTACTTAATCTTTGCTAGCGCGATACTGAATACACGATTAAAAGACATATCTACGAACGTCGAAATGTCGCGCGCCGCAACTTTCTGACATTCTATGTTGGATTGTCACCTCCGAATTCATCTCTTCGTTACTTCTCATCTTGTCAGACACATTCTACACGCGACTATTTTTTATACACTTGAGGGCGTGCGCGCGTCCTTGCGCACTTCCAATTTCCTGACAGTGCCACATACATATATATCTCAACGTCAGTTGGAAATGGATTCCACGAAGAGTGCATCCGTTCCGCATCATTGCATACGCTGCGTTCGCGCGGTATACCGTCATATTTTCCGTCTAATATCATACGGACGTGTGGGTAACGCGTATGTATAGTTGTGTCTCATTGCCGAGACGCGGACAATACGTTCCACCCCGATCGATTGCGCGCATTGATGAACGATTCCCGAGACACTGTTCAAACGCGTGGAAAACACATTTTTTTGCGCACAAGTCTTATAAATTATACATATATATAAACATTTGCTTACAATAATTCAAAGTGTAGTTTGTCTAAAAGTAATACAATAAATAAATTTTTCATTAACTTGAACTAAAGTACATTGATTCTGTGGAATCTTGAATTGCGTAATAATTCTTTTCGATAGTTTTTTCTTTACGTAACCGTATCATGTCACTCGTATCAATCTTACAATTAGATAATTTGATAATAAAACAAACATACACGTCGTGAATGGAGCAAAATTGAGACTACGAGTGTAAGAGACGGTCAACTTTAATATGATTTCAATAAAGTAGGTAAACAACAGGATATATAGGGCTCTTTTTTTCCTCTCCTTCTCGTGACATAATGACGCTCGGATAATTAATAAACGAGGACAGGCTAAAGTACTTGCCAAGCTTTTCTCGCAGCTTGTCAGAATAGCATAAAAAAATGTAAGTTAAAAAAAAACTTTATGGATCTTGAACAATCTTCTTTTGTTGTGTAGGAGAGACAACAAAAATATGTAGAAATTAAATTTTTAACTGACTGTTCTTTTAGATTATAACTTAAATGTTCCTTGGATATGTTGTAAACAAATTTTTAATTATAGTATGAAATTGTCGCATGCATATGTATGCAAGTAAAAATAAACCGAAAACTAGGGCAAAAAAACTGCGCATTAGATTGATGCGATTACATTCGCAAAGAGCAATTGACTACGTTATTATGTTCCTGAATTGATGGCGAAAAAGAAAAAATGTTTCATGAATATGCCCATGGTTTTCAAATTTTATCCGAGATTGTTATTTCCTCGTAACGCGCGTTTTCTTTAAAAAGACACGTAGATACTAAAATTAAAACTAAATTACGAGATCTACGTCACATTTTTATGCAGCTACACTGCACGTAAAAGATTTTATATCCAACTCGTTTTATCATGTTTTCAACGATCTGCTTTGATGTTTTCACGTTGGCCATGAGAATAAGATTATTATTAAACAACGAAAAAATCACCATTGTGTGCGACAAGCATTATTTACGAGACACCTCAAGACAACGTAATGAAAAGGATCCTTCATTATTTTCCCGGAACATAATGAGAATCTAAATATCATAGATCTGCGAATGCAACTTCCGTATAAATAATAGATGAAAAATCAGTGTTTCGTGGCTAACTTTGTTACGTCCTGTATTACAATCCCATGCGAACAAACCTCTGGGCATTGTTATCACACATCCTTCCCAAGTAGAAATTAAATTCCCACGAAACAATACATAGCTAAACTTCTCAGCGAAGAGATTTCACACTGCGATCACTAATGAACTTTTTGGCACTTTCCAGTTTTTTTTTCTTTTCTTTTTTTTAACCTATTGTTGACGAAGTCTATTATTAAAACAGACAATGCGCGCCAAATTGCATGAAAGTTTATATTTAAAAGAGAATTAGAAAACGCACATCTTTCTCTATCTCTCACTAAAATTCAGTAGATAGAAAAATTGCAGATAGTCTTAAAATGTCTTGATATTTATAATGCACATCGAACAAATGAGTTTTAACGTTATCTTTACATTGTTGAAAATTTCGCGTTGTTTAACTGCCTCTTGATCTCAAGTTCAAGCGCGCACCCGGCTTTTTTTTGCAAAAATGACAGGTTTATAAAAAAAACCGTGCTTATGACATGTTTATTGTCTATTGAAAACGTCGTCTGAATGTTTTCCTGACGAATGAATTTTTATTTTTAGACTTTTCTCTCACAGCTAGATCGAGAATTTTTGTATTATGTACACACGTATACTGCATGTACATATATATATATATATAGCACATGAGACTAATATGGAGTTTGGCAATGCTTAAGGTCGCGTGAGGTAACTCTTCCGTTCTAATTTCACACATGATATTAACTCGGTGTTTATACAGGTTGACGTCAACGCTTAATTAGAGCAATGAAATTACGTCTAATACTGAGTTTAGCTTTGCTAAATTCTTTTATATATTTGCTAAATTCTGTATATATATACATATATGTATATATATATATATATATATGTACAGGATGGAAAAAAGTATTGGAACACCTGAATATCTCAGAAAATATAAGTTTTACAGAAAAGTGTTTTAGACAAAAGTAATATGGTTTAAAAAGATTTATTTACTAATTGTATTACTGTGACTTTGGATCGCGCCGCCAAGGTCAGGTCAAGATCACATCAATTTTGTTAAATGGAATTTCCTATTTTTTATTGCAGATTCTTATAGCCTACTCAAGAGTTTTCCAAAACACTATATTAAAGTTTATTTTCATTAAGTACTTTTAGGTATATATATATATATATGTTAGCGTCAAAACCCGAAGTCCAGGCAGTTTTAGGATTGACTGGTCAATGCCCGAAAAATCGAACCTAACCTAACCCTAACCTTTTTTTCGGGTATTGACCAGTCAATCCTAAAACTGCCCGGACTTCGGGTTTTGACGCTAACATATATATATATATATATATACGTAACACTTTTTAAAAATTTGTGTATCAAATAAAATGGAAACTTAATTTCTAAAACTTGTGAATATATCGTCACTTTTCATTCTGGAGACAAAATAACTAACACAGACATAACTATAAAATTGAATTTTGCATGATTAATTATGAAAATATTTGCTTCTATTCTCGACAATGTCAATGATCAAGCCTCTGGGTCGAGTCTACACAGAGTATTCAGCAAACACAGGCTATTCATTTGCCCGACCTAATCAGAAAGTCAGACAAGTTGGCTCGTTGCGCGGCGGTCGTCGGTGCCAAAAGCCTAGGCGATTTCTCTCTCTCTCTCTTTCTTTCTCGAAGCCGCAGAACGTCGACGGCCGGTTGATGGAGGGGGCCCAGACACGACAGCTGTTTGCTCGCCATGGAACGGACCAGAGGGGTCGCATATATGTAAACCCGCCAGTAATGCCACATCGATGGCGTTTCACGGGAGTGTTACAGCGCGAAATTGTGACATTTTCGAATGAGATTTACTCGGTCAGATTTTCGCACAGAGTCTGAGAGTGCCGGCAGAAAGAAAGAAAATCACCAGGCAATACGTAGCGTTATGTGAAAGTGAGACCTGCCATCGCCAAGAAAATCCGCCTCGTTACAAACGCCGGCAGACTCCGACTTGCTCTGACTCGAGTGCAACAGCACGGTCGGAAAAAGTGCGCGCGCACGTGACGACGCGTTTGTGTGTGTGTGTGTGTGGTTCGACTCCCGTGGACCCGTCCGTCGGTAAATCCCTCAAGCTCGTTATTTTGTCTTACGACCAGCAATATTTAACTGTAGTTCGAGTGTCTCTCTGTCTAGAAAAAGAAAATGTCTTTTGCAATAATAATATTAAGATCGATATCGAAAATTACGACGTGATGTCATAAATTAACAGCAAAAAGAATGCAAAGTGATTAAGTAGTTGTGTGATCATCGATGAATAAATATAAAAAGTGAATATAAATCAATCAAATGTTAAAGAAATAAAGAAGTTTTAAAGAGGCATTGTACGCATCGCGATATAACATCAACAAGTAGATGTTTTACTTCAATTGATTGATGATTCAATCGGCAACAATTCAATCAAGTTTAAAAGGATTAAAGGAACGCGCGAACACGACGACAGAAGATAACGTTACGTTACACGTTTGTTTTCGAAAGTGCAATTCAATGTGTTTATAAACGGTCCGACGGAATGGAATTTGCTCTGTGATCAGCAGGTAGATCTGCGTGCGTTTGCATGGCAACTTTTCTCCTCTCTCGGAAAGCACGACGAGAAAACCTCAATTCCGGTCAACTTGCCGCCTGGGTGGTATTCGAACGGCAAACGGTGAACGTAGTCACGTGCGTCCTTGCGAGGTTGGCCTCCCAGTTGTGCACGAAGGCGTTGCATAACCATAAACGACTCGTTCATATATACGTTCTTGTAGATTTCAGAGATTTTCTGTGACGATGCAGCACTTATTGCTCAACTTTTTAACTCGGGATGGTAATGTCGGATTGCAGCCTGATTTCTTCTGATTTATACGGACTTTTTTGCATCCGGCAAGAAGATTTCTACACTTTTTGCAATTTCTTCCAAAACAAACGAGATTTTCTTAGCGTTCATTCTTAGCGTGACTAGATTCGAACACGTCGGGAACAGAAATTGAATTGAATAAATTTGACAAATGTATGCATAAAGTTTCTGTCGCAAAAAATTGCGAGCACAAAGAACTCTTTACTGGAAAAGGAAGTAGATGGTCGCTTGTCGGTATTGCGATAGAGGCACGGTATTGCGGTTGTTCGATAACGAGGACAATGCCCTCAAAGGATAAACAACCGTTTGTGATGAAGTAGAAAAATGAAATTTTACAGCGTAGGTCTTGGACCGTATTTAGGAATACTCGGAGTTGACGTTTCTCATAAAGAGATCAATCCATCCATCGTGATAACAATCGTGCGATTCTCGTAGAAGTATAGCACAAGATGAATGAGATAGAAAAACACCAAAGGGAGAGAGAGGGAGAGAGATGGCTGTTGTCAGAATGATTAATGCTCGCTAAAGGAGGAAACATCCAATAGCTGCGGGTATTTTTGTTTCCTTTTTGCCTTCGCACTTTCTTTTTTTCGAATGGTATAGTTGTACGTATTTTTTTTTTATTCAAAGTTTTAAAGAATCGTTATTCAACGGGTGACACGTTCCCTCAAATGGAAACTAACAATTTGCCAGGCTCCGTAATTACCCTATTATCATCCCGGTCGACCAGTGATTCTCTCGTTAACTTCTAATGAGCTTCAATCTGTATCGCAAACGGCCACTTTTGCCTCTTCCAATCGATTCGAACACGCTCGAACATTCACGCTTTCGCGAAAAACCGACTGCATTTAAGATCCATGAAAGATACTTCGATCATCGCTTTGAGAATAACATCGCTAATGAATTTTCAGCGAGAGAAAGTTAAATTTTCACGCGGATTGTATTTTTAGATGCACATTGTTTTCTGAGAACGTTACACGCGCTTAAGTTGGAGCCAAGTCTCGAGTGAAGATCTTCGTTCGAAATTCCGATGTACATAGAAATATCGAACGAACTCTTTTCGAGTGGACGGAAGCTTACGTTTAACTTTCGATAGGGGTTGTTGGGAAGAAATGCACTATTATGTCAATGCTCCAAGTCGGTTAGATTACAAACGATCTTGTCATTGATCTTGAAGTACATTTCGTTATCATCGAGATCTTAACGACTAACGGACGACGGTAATAAATTTTATAGGGCTGACAAATTGTCGAGGAGGAAGAGACCGTGTTCGGTCCACTTCTTCATAATGGCCAATTGTCGCGCGACGGAATCGTGTGAGTGTATAAAGTAAACAATAAAACGTTTCGGAGGACAGCAGTCGCGTCGCGTCCGTCCGCGCGTTCGCAGCACGTTATTTTATCTTCGTGTTAATTCCCTTTCATCTGCTCTTCCGTTTCTCCGACACTTCATGTAAATATTTAACAGTTTTCATCGTCGCGAGAGAATGACAAGTTGGCGAAATATTTTGTTAGCCAAAGCGAAAACACGAGTCGCGGAATAATTCACGAACTTAAGCGCGTTTGTTAAAAAAAAAAAAAAAAAAAAAAAACATTTTTTAACGGAGTTTCTAAGGGGTGAATCTGCAATGTAATATATGCGTAACATTCTCGTCGTGCGCAGCGAGAGATAAAGGAGAAATGTGCCATTGCAAAAAGAGGCATTAGAAGTGACCGTATTGATGATCTCTTTCAGCTTTACTCTCAAAGCCAAAGAATTGGTTTACGGATTTATAAAGAAAATCGCAAACTTGGAAAAAACTTGTGCAAAAGTTTGATCCTATCTACCAAAGAGAAGTGTTTATAGAGTGGGGTTTTTTAGTGCTATTAATAATTTATAAAACGAATAAAACGGACGGACACGTAAAGAGCAAATACGTGATCGTGTTGAGAGGTCTCGAAAAGATTACAGAGAAATCTCGGAGACAGGAAGTCGAGATATATCGAGTAGAATAGTCGAGCGATCTCCAGATGAAATTTCGCAAATCCTCCACATCCTGCAGCCCGAAGATGGAATTACTCTTGAGACGTTCCTCGGGTAGTAGGATGTCGACCCTAAAAAGATCAAGGTCCTTCCGGGCGTCTGTGAAACTGATGTCAAAGATACGCAATCACGCCAATCTGCGACTGACCGCCGGTTATGATATCTCACCTATCTCGAATGATTTCGTCGCCAAGAAGGAATATAACATCCACACCGTTGAAGAAACGTCAAACAGTAGAGTAGTTTCAGATCCGTCTAAAGATCTCGCGGATATAAACTTTCGTGACGGGAACAAAGTCGATGGCGAAATATCTTCGAATCCTCATAAGATTTCGGTGTTAGCTAACGATGTGGATCCACGTGAAATCACGAAGGATTTGAAGAGCAAACTGTCTCTGGCCGATAGAATAATGGGTAAAAGTCGCAAAAACGCGGATAAACATTTGACGAAGGACGAAGATGTGAAGTCGCCGAAAGTTCGCATCTTCCGTAGAAAACATAGCACGGAAAGTTCGCAGGAAGACACTCAGGGGAAGAACCGCAGTGACAAATGCGCGTCCTACGAGAATCCTATGTTTGTGCTAGACAGTTCCTTGGACTCCTCCGTCTCGAGTTTTCTCTTCGAACCTGCAGAGGAGAAAGAGGAGCAGAAACAACAAGATCACAAAGGAAAGGAGCACGCGGTGTCCTGCGAACAAGACGTTTTGACGGTCATCGTGGGTTCCCATAAAACCGCAAGTAACCGCAAGGCGAATTACGAGGAAGACGAGGAATGCTTTGAAAATGAAGAGTCACAGAACGTATTTCGTCCGAGATGCGAGACGAGTCCTTGCCCTTGTGAATTACGGAGCGAAGCTTCACAATCATCTGCGATAAACCTGAGTCGAAGGACCGCTGAGTCTTTCAGCGGCTACGATCGCTCAAGAGTGAACATTTATTGTAAAGTACACGAGGCGAGAAAAAGAAGCGTAACGAATTATCTGCAAGATCAAAAGTTTCTCGACGCTGTCAAGACCTGTCCTTCGAAGTCCTGCGGAATCAGAACGGTCGATAATATTGCCAACTTCTGGACGAGCAGGCGGGGTAATAGTTTTCGAAGTAAAATGGCGATCGGTAGGAAAAGAGACGCGAAGGATCATGAGCGAGTCGACCAGGAACGAGTTCTCGTGTCGACGTCATCAAGATCAAGTATGCTAGATCAAAAAATAAGTTTCTAATTAGTCAGCGGCGCGTCAGGCGCAATTAAGCAGTAGGAAGTTAGTTCAAGTTTCCGCGGTGAATTATCGATCTATGTAAACTCTTTGTTTCGCAAAATCGAAACTTCGCGCGAGATAAATAATAAAAACTATAATCACATCGATGATGCAACGCGCCTAACTTTAAGTGACATATTTTTTTGTTGTTTTTTTCACGCTAACTAAATTTTCATTGTGGAAAGTTGTAGAAGAAAGTGCGCTTTATCGTGAAATCAAAACAGCAAACTGCGTTAATGTTGGAAAGCATCTCACTGGGACGTGAGAAAATTTCTAACAGTGAAAGTGACTCGCGAGAAAAATGTACGAACAAATTGCAATATAATTTAAGATGTTCGAAGAGAAAGAAATAAAAGCTCCTCGCGCTATCTTATTTTTCAAGTTGTACTTTTCTCTTTGGCTAAACTTAAATCTTTTTATTCAACATCCAAGTTACAAACCTGAAGATAAACAACCAGAATTTTTATTTATCTCTTTCACGCAAATTATACTTTATTATCCCCCAATTCTCACAAGTTTCTTTATCTTATTTATTTGATCCCTTTTTTTACTTGTTATTTTCTGTAATATTTATTTTGTTTGCGTTTATATTTATTTATTTGCTTTGCTTCGCACAGAGTTACACTCGTTGCAAGGGATGGAGTTCCTGGAGGGATTTGGCAAGAAGAAACAACAGCCCCATCAACAACTGAATAACCTATCGTCAATACATATCAATCCTCTCTCCACTCAATCCCTCAGCATACACCAGCATGGTATTCCGTTGTCTTTTATTGAATTTTTTTATTTTCTATGTTTTTATTTTCTTAATGTTTCAAACATCTTTTTTTTCGTTTCAATCGAACTTGGGTTATCATAGAAAACTTACGTAAAATGGAAAGTAATAATCTTGATATTGTTCCCGTTTTATTTTTAGCTTTATTTGCGGCTGTAGAACATGGCTACTTGGATAAAGCGAGGACTATTTTGGAGTCTACTGATGTGAACGTAAATAGGTGAGTTACTTGTGTCACTAGACATATATGGACATACATATATGTATATATATGTATCAAAGTCAAAGAACGATTGATGTAATTGACTTACGAGTATTTACCACGTATTTATTTACCACGTTTTTATCAAAACAAGGAGGATTGATGAATTAAACGATTAGGCCTGAAAAACAGCTATTATACATTTGCGTTATTGGGAATCTGAATATCATGAGAAAAAGAAATTAAATATTTTGTCTTTTTATTCACTTTAGAAATCGATAAAACATTTCGCGGCACTCAAACTGCTCTACCGATCCTCTTTTCCTCTTGAAGAAGCACACGCGCGACCTAGAAGCTGTTCACTCGAGATACACGTTACTTCGCGGAGGGCTCTAATCAAATATGCGAGCTGAAACTTTCGAAGTGCACCGCCGCAGAAACAGTCAATCGCGTCATTAAGAATTGTTCGACTACAGAGCACACAGAACTAACATCTTGATTCGATTCGACGTGAATCTTCGGGGGATTTCGCGAGAAATCTGGGTCACTATCAATAGTGTTAACTATAATGTAAAAAAATATATGATCCATTAAAGAGATTCAAAAAAAGAGAGAATCATATAAGCAAAAGTTTGTTGAGTAAAATATAAAAATTTTTTCATACATATACATGTGATTTATAATAATGCTTGAAAAATCTAATTATTTTTTTATCTGTCAACGCTAAAGTTTTTTAGCCTCGAATTGTAACGCGTAATTTTTCTCTGTGAATAAAAACGTTCGTGTTATGAAATTTCGACAGAATATAGTGTAGAAGTCGTTATGAATCGATGTGTAAAAAATGGTTTGTTGCACTTAAACATTTTTTGAACTTTTTCATAGTCGGTTGCGCGTGATATCGCGGAAAATAGTCGCTCGCTTCTATTTGTGACGAGCAATCGCGACACGATTTGTCGCCCGGATGTGTCTCTTTTATATATATAGTATATATATATATATATGCAATACAGCGTAGCTTTTCGGTACCTTCCGGTTGCGCACTACGACAAAGCGTTGGCTGTCGATAAATGAATTATTCAGACATCGAACAATGCATCGATGCCAATTAAAACGAGCATGTTAACACGTAGACAAGCAGATTTAGTTGAAAAGGCTTAGTAATTGTAAGCGCGCGCGTTTACATAATAAATATTTCAAATTTCAACCGACTTATACAGCAAGTAAGAAAGAAAAATTAGTATTGTATCAAATAAATTTGCATTTGAGTATAATTAAAGTAATCGAAAAAAGTTATTCATTCTTCACTTTGTATTTAATACAAATTTTTGTCGTGAACGAAAAATCGATAGATACGTATAATTAGAAACTCATTTAATTCGGCTAAATTATCGACTAATTTATATTCGCTAACATTGATTTAACATCTTTTACATCAAAGTAGTTAAAGTCAAACTGAGTAAAAGTAATTAAACGTTTTAAAGTTATCTCATCAATTTTTTGATTTTTTTCTTCAGGTAAAGCAATATTTCTTCATTTAAATAGAAAGGGGGGAGAGGAAATAAAGCAGCGACATTGTTACGTGAAATTTATAGGATAGAATAAAGTAAGCGAAATAGTACGATTTATAATTCAAGAAAGAAGCATGCGGTCACACGTATGTTTCATCGAATCTTTATCGATCTCTCGATGCCACATAATTTGCTATCAAAAGTTCCATGAAGCCTTTTTATTCTGTAAAAATCTTGCCTTATCGTGATATAAAGTGAAGCGTCTTAACGTTCCAGTTTTTGATTTTATTTTTAATTTCGACTTTTTCTTTCGTGAAATAAGTATTACAAAAGTGAAATAAGTTATATATATATATATTCTACTTTCTATATATATTTAATATTGTACGCCGTGAAAGTAGAAACTACAAGAAAATTGCGAAATACTCCGTCGCGGAGCACACAACGTCACAACTTGGTGTTTTCGTTTTAGCAAAAACTAAAAGTATATAAACCAATGAATGAATTAAATTCGGGCTGTTTGAGCCGTTTTGCAGGATGTTGTGCAGAGAATGTGCTTAAATATATACATATGCATACACATATATTTAACGAAATAATTGTTTTCCTCATATAAGATGCTGGATTTGCATCACGTATATATGAAGGACCCCGTATACCCCCCTAACTAATTTTAAAATATTGCGAAAAAATGTGTATGCATATGTATATATTTAAGCACAACATCCTGCACAAACATCCTGCAAAACGGCTCAAACAACCCGAATTTAATTCATTCATCGGTTTAAAGACTTACGAGCCTCGAAGAATTTTATTCTTCTTCATTATTAATTTAAAAGTATATAAATTTAACTATTAGCGCGCGCTATTTGTAACTTTATCACTTGCAGCGTAAATAACGACGGCTTGTCGCCGCTGGACGTTGCTGTGCTTAGCAACAACAGACCCCTGGCAAAAATGCTTGTCGCATTCGGCGCGCAGGAAGGAAACCGATGTAAGTACAATCGAATTCAATTACAAACTTGACGCAGAGCCGTAGCGCGAACTTTGTTATACGGCGCTCGTGACAAATCCCGTTGAATCCGAAGCTTTGCGTGAGAATTTTCTTTTTATTTTTTCCCGCTAAATAATCTCTCCGGCTTCTCTAATTGTCACGCGAAAAACCCCAAGAAAATCGTCAGTCCGCGAGAGATTCCAATTAGGATTCCATAGTCTCTAATAAAAATGCCGTCGAGCTTTATTGCATTGCGCCGACAAAATAAAAATATAAAGAATACAAACGCGTCGGCAACAAAAAACGACAGAAGCGAGAACTTTGCGCCGATGTAGATTTTTTTTCGTGCGCGCGCGCGACGTTTTAATAGCGTTCCCTTTTGTACAATGTGTATCGAACGCGGCTGTAATTACGATCAAGTGCGAATGGCGTGTAAATGTGAAATTGTGAGAGATGTGAGCAATAGCGATATCTAAACATCTCTCGATGCTTTCTCCTGTACAATACCAAGCCATCCGTATGAATTGTGCGCGAAAAACACTACGCGAACCGTGAAATGTGAAAACAAAAAGCGAGCTTTTTATCTAACATCCTACACGCGGGTCTAAAGCCTTACATTTGTTGAATTCCCAGGAGGTTTCCTTCCAGTTTCGTGATAAATTGCATTTGCTGCGTACGAGGCTGCGCATCTTGTCCGAAATATTGCGAAATTAGAATCTCAAATTTACGCGAAGAAATTTTTGTCGAATACGCCATAAATCGTGCGCTAACACTCTTTTTATTGTCTATCTAACATTATACATCTCTCTTACTTCGGAAGTGAAAAAGATAAAATAAACTACTTTTAACTGTAATATCAACAAGCGAAGCGAGGAATCTTATATTATTAAGTCAGCAACTTGATCTTAATTCATCTTTGCGAAAGTTTCTCGCGTCTTAATTTGTTCCGTTAGCTCGTTAGCGTTTCAGATAAGTCACATCGTTAGGACCTTCTTGGAAAATGATATACAGTAGGAATGATATAAAGTGGAACACTTATCTCTTTTTCGAACTAACGCATTTCTTCGTCTATTTAACTATGTACATATTTACGTAAATTTTAATACCACCGATGTTATTACACACAGTTAAATCTCCGGAATCTCTCGGAAGTCACTTGGCATCATTGCTCTCGGAAGCAGAACACAGAGTTCAAGAACTCGGCGGGAGCACTTCCGGTAGTGGAACCAGTCTATTGGAACCACCTGGCAGTCATAGGGCTAGTTTTTCCGCGCAACATAATAACTTCACGGCATGCGGTGGCAGCGCGGAAGACAAACATCTTGCTCTATGGGAAAGAAGAGCGCGCGCTCTTAGAAAAATGTTGTTGGGTTTTGATCAAGCGCGTGAGTTTACCAAGATTTGAAATTTACAGTCTTATATATTAACAAAACATATATATGCCGACAAGCTTGATTTGTGTTTCGCTAATATGAGTGTTTTTATATATTTTTTATAATTTAGGACCACCCGACATGCCTTCCTTGGTCGAGGTAGACGTTACCGGAACGACTACGGTAACAGTCAGATTTCAAGAACCGGACTCGCACGACTCCTCAATCTGCACTAAGTTTAAAGTCCAGTGGAGTTTGCAAGACGACTTCTTGGTTATCTGCGACGAGAAAGAAGTTCTAGACATGAAACAGAGAGAATGTCGGATAGAGGGTCTGATACAAGGGCAAAAATATTATTTCCGCGCTGCCGCAGGAAATTTGAAGGGATACAGCAGATTTAGAAATTCGACGCCCGCACATGTTACACCTAGCAGTGAGTATCCCAGATCTATGTTATTGCAGCAACTTAAATTGGGCGATTTTATATATATATATATATTTATTTTTTCTTTTGATATATCTATTAGTGTCCTGAAATTTCACTAATATTTTCCTATTCAATACATATACCTATATAAATGTTTTTTTTAAGGTTGGAGAGATATAGACGGCAGAGTACCGAGGTTCGCGGGACGATTGGAACAACTAAATACTCTATTTACTGACATAAGACGACCTGAATATACGCAAGAAACACCAGCGGTACAAAGGCGTAATCACAAAAAGAAGACAGCAATAAAACAGCTGTTCACGGCAACGAGTAAATTTCAGAAAAATCTCAGGCGAGGAGTATTTCTCGCGTGTCTGCTCTATCACGAGGATAAGGTTCTAGTTACTAGCGAGGACTTTTTGCCTGTCATTGAGATCGACGAAACATATCCGAGTTGTATCTACAATGATTTTCATTGGCTCATGAAAGTCGCTTGCACCTGGGACGATGTCAAATCTCTCCGACAGGATATGGAAAAGAGTTACAGCAGTTCAACCAATCATTTTAGGATAAAGTTGCTTCAAGCTGCTGCTCAAATGCAGGCACGTGTTAATATTGTCTGAAACTTTATTGTAAAAATACTAAATACTGAAATATATATTCTACGATATTTATATTCAATATATCTTTGCAGGCGGCACTGAGCATACAGGACCTTGGACAATTGTACTACAAACCGATCAGAGACATTCAAGGCACTTTAGTATTCTCAACGGTGAATAACATAAAGTCACCAAAACTGGTTTCTGTGCTAAACAGCAGGTGGCTGCCGCTCAGTAAAGTCATAAAGAAGGTCATAACACATGAGGATAGCAATGTTGGCGACATTCTTATGGCCAGCATACAAGAGCAAATAACATACCACGAGGTCAGCAGCAAAAAATTGTCCATGGGTTTATACCTCGGTTATCTCAAGATGCAAAGTAGCGTGGATCTTATACAAGTCGTAGTTCCAGCAAAATCTCCGAACGTATTGCCACACTGGAAGATTCGCGATAATCCTCATGTATCCGCGTAAGTCTTAACGTTTATAAGAAATTTAAGTTTTTCTAGCAAATATTTTATAACTATCGTTTTCTTTCGTTATTTTATTTGTTAAGGGAGGAGTGGGACTATCTAAAGAGAGTAACACGAATCTGTTCATCGGAGTCCTCCGTGGAATCCGAGGAAAAAGAGAACGTGACGAATGAAGCACAAGGCACGGAACAGCAGAAACTGTTTGTTGATCTAGTAGCCGCGACGGCTCGACGACTATTCAATTATATGGAGATCACTGCGGAGGATTCGCTGCTGCATCGACTATACGACGCAGAAGTGATCGATTTGACGCATGACGTATCGTTTCTAATAGCCGTGCCGCCCGCAGAAACTGCTTGTTGCGTGCCTGGCACACGAGAGATCCTATTACAACGGGGTGATCTTTTGTCGTTGCCTATTCAAGTTTTCGAGATGGTGCATTTGAATACGTATCAAAAGGACGTGATCAGTCGTTACTCGAGGCTCAGCTGTATCCTAGAACTCGACACTGCACAGGCGCAGCATAATCACAGAGAAGCCTTCAGTTCCTTAGAGTTAAGTGTCGCGAAGGACAAGTTGGTGAGACTACAGGATCTTCAGTCGCAAGTGAACACAGTGTGGAAAGGTGCCAGGTGGCTGATTGATGTTATCACTTTTGCGAGAGATCGTGGCTCGTCTCAATTCAACGTAATTTAACTGTTAACACTCTTTTTGCATTTGTTTTAGTCTCTTGTTTAGCGTGTAATTACTTAATTTGCCATCTCTTTCGTAGGTCTCGTCGCAAACCGTTGGCATATCTATGAAACATCTGTTTAGTCTGGATAGAAACAAAAATATTAATAGCAACAGCTTGAAACGAAGCTTGTTGCAATTACCGCCTAGAGATCCTAAGCTCGTCAAAGCGAGTCCCGGCCGCGGCAGCTGGCCAGGTCCTAATCTATCGAATACGTCTAATCTTCTCACGACGGAATTCAGCAAGAGTGAACAGCAGTTACTCAGCGGACAATACATTCGCAAAGGTAGTAACACATCTAACGTGTCGACGAGTTCGGAGCCGCAGAAATCATCGGTCGTTCCGATGAGCAGCAGCAGTAATTTGACCACAGCGAGCAGTGCTAGTCATCTAGTACCGCTGCAGAACACGCGGCTACCGCCGTCCAAATCCGAGGATACTCTCATTCTCACCAAGTACAAACAAAGTCCGCGAAATCGTTCGGCTCCGGTAACATCGGCATCGGCTAGCACTAGTCCGTTGCTAAGTATAAAACCTATTATGTATGGCGGTTCGCTCTTGAGCGTTTCTACAGCAATGACAAACACTACGAGCATGCTAAGCGTGAGTAACACGAACTCTGATAGCTTGCACTCGTTAAGCAGCGATGAATACTCGACGCCAAATTCAAGCGTTTGCTTGAAACCCGGTCATTCAATCAAAGTCAAAACGTCCAAACCAACAGCGAGCGTCGCAGCGATGGCCACTGTGTCCCAAGACAACATAGACGAAGAGAAGGACGAGGCGACATTAATGCCTGCACCTTTGCCAGGCATTCTTCAGGTAAATTTTGTTTCATTTTTTTGATCTTTCATACCTTGCAGAGTAGATTCTGTAGATTCTATAGTATTTTTTGCATATTAGATGTGACGTCTCAACAAGTTCAATTTCAGCAATTTTAAACTCTTCTTAAACTCGCGACCTACAATTCTTAAAAACTATTTTTTCCTTCCTAGGGAACACAAGTCTAACCTGATTATTATTAAAAACAAGTTGGTCTTCTCAAGTGATGTAGTGGACATATTAAGTAAGCCGCTTCTCAACGCTTGCTCTAGCCGATTATGCTTAAATAGCGCGCTTAGTGTGTCAAAATCAATGCGGCATGAAAACTTGATGGCAATCATTTTACAGTTTGCAATAGCTATTTTGAAGATATATTTTTTTTTATCTATATGTAATATTTTATAACAATATAAAATATTTTCAAAAATACAAATTATTACTAACAGGTATTCGATTGTTTTGCACAGAGCGTTTCGTGTTATATAATTATTAATTATATAATATTATAATGTACATATATCTCATTTTCTCAGTGTGTTTTGTATGTGTATGTAGTGTGTCTAGAAGACCAAAAAATAAAATAAAATAAATTCCGAATGAGTCTACCAACCAATTTTTGTAAAAAAGATACTTATCACACTTTGAAAAACCACAGTTAATTATTTTTATTTTGCTATAGTATATTTTCTCTCTATATTTCTTCTCTTCACACTCGACATCAAAGTCTTTTAGGCACATCGTGCGTATTATATATACATATACAGGGTGTTCCAGAATTGGTGTAATAACATCTCTCGTAGACAAGTAGAAGAAGTAAAACTGAGTCGATAAGTCCTATACCATTTTGCTAGATTCGCAATAGTTGCCGAAATCTTAATTAACAAAGATCCGCGAATAAGCGTGCATCGGGCTGTCTTACGCGCGTAGGACAGCCCGGCGCGCTTCGCACAATTACATTTTAATATGTATATGTTATAGAGTATATGCTGTTATATTAGCTCCTCCCATATGCTGCTCACGGGTAACACCGTGAGCGCGCGAAGCTATCTCTAAGCGCGTAAGACAGTCCGATGCATGCTTATTCGCTGATATTTGTTAATTAAGATCTCGGTAACTATTGCGAAATCTAGCAAATTGGTATAAAACTTTTTGACTCAGTTTTACTCCTTCTATTTGTTCACGAGAGATGTTACACTAATTCTGGGACACCCTGTATATATAGCTTACATATAAATAATATTTATATGAAGATTTCAATTCAACAGTTTTTATTAATTCAAATTGTACGAATGCATTTATACCAATTTGTTATACTTCTGCATTTTGCTAAATGATTCTTTTTACTATGTAACTTGTGTTATGTAACTTGTGTTATGTGTCATCAATAAATATGAAAAATTTGTCTATTAATGTCACTGTAGGTTTACGCGGCCTACGAGACTGGTTTAGCGGCTGGCACAAGTTTGAAGCTACACGTAACGCCAAGGACTACAGCGCGGGAAGTTGTGGACCTTGTCATTAAACAGTTGAACATGGCTGTGGTTCTTAAAGGTCAAAAAGGGCCCATATATACGGCCGAAGAGCTACCAAACTTCTGTTTAGTTGCTGTGATCGGTGCGCGGGAGCGTTGTTTAAGGGATGACTTTAAGCCGCTTCAATTGCAAAATCCATGGAAAAAGGGACGATTGTATGTTAGGCAGAAACAAGATGTTCTCGCCGCTCTCGAGCATAGTAGCAAGCACACCGCGTACTTATAGCACAAGTAAACGAGGCACTTGCAAGTGATCGGGTTAGTTTGTACAAGTGTGCACACGTCTAGCTATATTTATAAAATCATTTTATGCAAGAAAAAGAATTCTTAATAACTGATATTCTAGCGCTGCGAAAATAAATCTAATATAGTTCTTCAAACATTGTTAAAGCTATCAATTATCTTTCAGTTTGTGTTTGTTTTTTTTTTTTTCAATTAAATATTTTCTTTTTTCAAAAGAATCTATTTTAGGCCGCGTGTAAATAATCTTGCATCTGAAACCCGTGAGTTTGCGATCATTATCTGTAATTCACGATGTTGTTCTGTTAATGTTGCAAAAAAATGAACAATATTTGAGATACATACTGTATATTTTATGTTCCGATCTCACACTTTTATTCTCAATATGTACATTGTCAAGAGTATAAGCAAACTGCTTGAGATCTCATTATTCCTCATATGGTAATTCATTGTATCCAAGTATGTGTGATTATACCGCAAGATTTTTAAAATTTTTTTAAATTAAAAAAAATTTTTTTTTTTTTGTATAAGAAAGATGCAATAGAAAATTCTCTACTCGGATACATTGAATGAATGTAAAAGATAACTTTATAAAGTCAGTAAAAAACTTTTATATATGTTAGTATTAAAAGAATGTGTGCTTAGTAAGAAAAAGAAATATTTGCATTCTATGTGTATTGTGTACGTTATATGTGTCAAAGTTATTATGATATAAATTAGTATTTACGTTGTATGTGTACGTTGTATGTGTGACAAAAGTTTTATGATATTACGTATATGTAAGATATTTTCTGCTTAATTAGACTCAGGTTACCAGGCTTCATAGAGGAAATAAAATAATTTCGATTGTACGGATTAATTTGATACATATATTTTTCTCGAGTATAACTGTTTATAGAACAAACAAAGAAGAGTTCCTAAAGTCTGGTAGCATTGTTTCAAGAAGATTTAGAACAGAAAGTATATTATTAAAAAAGTACGATTAATTATGAGAAAAATTGACAAACGTTGTTGACAGCACGCGACGTAACAGAAAATTATTTACACGTGAAGTGGAGAAAAGTAAATTACGTAAGATTTTTAATTTAATGAGACGAAATAAGACACATTTGAACAAATTTTATATAGTTAATTATTAGTATAATTAAGATCAAGAGGCTTATAGACTGTTGTTGTATATAATAGAAAAAGTATTATTAGTAATATTATTATTAGTGCTATTATTATTTTTTAGAAATAAAAAATGAGCTGTATTTTGTGTCTTAACGTATATAAATTTGTTTTTTACTACTAACCATTATAACATATATTAAATGTATTATTTCACATTACAATCATTCTAAATATATATATATATATTTGTTGTAATAAACTTGTATAGAGTAAAAAGAAAGATATATAATCAAAAGAATGAATTAACACCCTGTTTATTTTAATAAAGGGTTTCACACACAAAGATTATACACAATGTATATATATATATTACCACGTCGTTTACCACACACATACGTACACATAGTAGTACGTATTCAAGTGAGAAAAATGGCGATTTAGCGACGACGTGTTTAAATGATATCATAGTATGCAGTGATTTGAATATATTCTAAACCCAATCGCACAATATTACTGCGCAATGTTAGCGATACATTTCAACAAGTAAGCGATAAATTTCTCAAATATTTCAAAACCTTATCGCGCATTTCATATTTAATGAACTAAATTTGATTAGAGCAACGTGTGTGTATGTGTATACATATATATATATATATATACAGGGTGTCCCAGAATTGCCGTACAATCGCTCGTAGGCAGGTAGAAGGAGTAAAACTGAGTCGAAAAGTCCTGAACCATTTTTTTCTATTATTTATAACAAAGGAGTAATTATTGAGTAAATCAGGCCAATCAGCGCAGACCTTTAGTCAGACGCACGTCAGTGAGCCGCGCGCCTCGTGTGTGTGAGCTCTCAGTGACGTGCGTATGGCTAAAGGTGGGCGCTGATTGGCCTAATTTACTCAATAATTACTCCTTTATTATAAATAATAGAAAAAAATGGTTCAGGACTTTTCGACTCAGTTTTACTCCTTCTACCTGCCTACGAGAGATTGTACGGCAATTCTGGGACACCCTGTATATATGAATTAACACCCATATATATATATATACAGAGTGTCCGACAATTACTTTAGCATCTCTCGTAGGCAGGTAGAAGGAATAAAACTGAGTCAAAAAGTCCTGAACCATTTTTTTCTATTACATATAATAAAAGAGTAATTATTGAATAAATCAAGCCAATCAGCGTCGACCTTCAGCCGGGCGCACGTCAGTGAGCCGCGCGGAGCGCTCACGCACACCAGGCGCGTGGTTCACTAACGTGCGTTCGGCTAAAGGTCGACGCTAATTTATTCACTAATTACTCCTTTATTATATGTAATAGAAAAAAATGGTTCACGACTTTTTGACTCAGGTTTACTCTTTCTACCTGCCTATGAGAGATGCTAAAGTAATTGTTGGACACCCTGTATACATATATACATATACATATATATACACACATATATATATATATATATATATATNTGTGTGTGTGTGTGTGTGTGTGTGTATATTGTTGTTATTATATATTTATAAATACATGTACAATATATACACATATATATATATATATATATATATATATGTGTGTGTGTGTATATATTGTTGTTATTATATATTTATAAATACAAGAAAAGCAAAGAAAAGTATAGTTGAAGAAATAGTCTGTTTTAGACAACAACAGAATTAATGGAATTAACTGTCTGAAGCTTAAAGAAGCAAAACATACACGCCAAATGTAAATCTATATTTTTCTTATTTTGTTCGCATAATATCGATCTGTCAAGCGAAGAACTTTACTCGAATATTTATCGGATATCTATTATGAAATCCGTCCTTTACATCGCAGATCCGATTTCACAGCTTTGTATTCAAGAATTTTTTCGAGTATTATTGCTTCCTGAGCAGTAGTATCGTGTACCAAGGGGCCACTTGCGTTTAAACAAAAATATATAGTGCACATATTTTTTTATCGACAAAGTGATAAAAGCGGATATTGCTGATTGGGTAAATTAATTAAATATGTTGAAGTTATAAAAAAATTTTTCTGATATTATGGCAGATATATAGGGTAAATCCGCGTAAGATGGCCATAGTTTTCTTTAAATGCAAAAACAGGCCTTTATTTTTGTTGTTTTTTAATATTGTTTTTTTATTTCACTTCACTGAAGCTTAAAGTAATAATAACTATCGAAATTAAAGAGAAAACACTTAACAAAAACTTAATATTATATAAAATATTAAAATGTATGCATTGGCCATCTTGCTCACCTTTTAGGGGAAAGATGGCCTGTGTTTTTCGTAAAAGATATAAGTAAAACTTATAATTATGTAATTTTATTATATATTTAGTAATTATAAGTATTTTTTAAATTATGAAACGCAACTTTATATAAACTATAAAAACAAAAAAAAACATTTTTATTTTGATGATTAAATACATTGTAGATTATATTACAGTCATAAAAAATATACATGTAATTATATATAATTTTTTTTATAAAAATGGACCATCTTTCCCGAAGCGTGAGGAAAAGATAACATAATATTTATAAATAAATAATGAAAATGAAACACTATATATATATGTATATACATATATACAAATTATTGGTTACATTACATTTTATGTACTTTTATTATGTATGTAATATTGATTACGGCAGCTTAACTGTAATTTATTCGACATTACAGCAGCTTTTAGTGGACATACGTAAAACTTTGCGATCAAAAGTAAAAATATTATAATAAACAAAGGTGTTATGGCTATTGAAGCAAACACAGATGTCGATGTGTGAATAATTGAATCAATTTATTGAAACTTAGTGCAAAACGTTTTCGACCTTGTATTAGGTCTTTCTCAATGCATTTAAAATACTGTAGTAAAATACGTCGCACAGTGCTGTCAAGAATGTTCAAGTCGCACAAGCAGACCCGACCAACACTTTACAAATGGAATAAAGCGACTGATTTATTATTCGCTTTATTCCATTTGTAAAGTGTTGGTCGGGTCTGCTTGTGCGACTTGAACATTCTTGACAGCACTGTGCGACGTATTTTATTACAGTATTTTAAATGCATTGAGAAAGACCTAATACAAGGTCGAAAACGTTTTGCACTAAGTTTCAATAAATTGATTCAACTATTCACACATCGACATCTGTGTTTGCTTCAATAGCCATAACACCTTTGTTTATTAAAAATTCTTGAAGCTATATACACATATCTTTACATAAAAATATTATATCATTTTCACAATATTGTTATTTTAAATAGTGTACGCACATAAACTACTGTAAATACTGATTATCTTTAAAAATAGCTACAAAAATGCACCATTAAACAATTATTGGTGAAGTTACAGTCTATGGCCATCTTTTCCGCGTATGACTATAATAACCCCATTTACCCTACATATATATCTGCTTGTGTCCATTATATTACACATAAGTACAAAAAAATCTTGAAAATAGAATGAATTTTGTACAAATCTATATCTATTAAGCTATTAATTTTTACAAAACTATCAGCATAATTATTATAGTGAAAGACGTAACCACCTAATCAGCTATATCTGCTCTTCTCTACTGCTTTTGTGTCTGAGTGCACACTCGTAATGTTGGGAGCTAACAAGCGCACGTCAAG